GCGGCGGTGGGCTGGGGGGAGAGGGAAACGATCCCGCGGTCGTGCCTGGTGGGTGGCCTTGCTGGGGCACCTTGTCCTGCCTCAAGGATCCCGGGTGGCCCTTTGCAGGGCGCAGTGGAGGCTTCCCTATTAGCCCCAGTGATCGCGAACCTTTCAGAGACCACGTGCCCAACCTGCGACCCAAAAACCCACTTATTCATCGCAAAGTGCCAACACGACCATTTAGCCCGAATCCTGAGGTTTTACTGTAGAAAAGAACAACTCACACATTAACTTAAGATGATCCAAACAAAGTAAGGAAAGCAATCCCAAATGCTTTCATTTGCTTAAAATTATTTGGCAGAGAGAATTCGACACTTGAATGATGGTCTGGGCCTGGCTGGGGCGATGGCACGCGTGCCCACAGAGAGGGCTCTGAGGGCCACCTCTGGCACCCATGCCATAGGTTCGCCACCACTGCCCTGGGGTTTGTGACACATGACCGGGACACCGAGGAACGTGCGAAAAGCCCTGCTGGATCACCTCAGTGTGGGCCATCTTCCCAAGTCTCTCGTTCCGCACAGTGGCCAACCAGTTGTTCTGGAGGGCACAGCAAGCAGGGCAAGGCCCTCTCCTGGAGCTGCCTTCCAGCACTCCTCGAAAGAGGTTCAGGCAGGGTCGCCCTGCCCTGTTGGCCTGAAACATCAGAACAAACCTTGAGTCTGGTGGTGCCTTTAAGATCAAATCTGCGGATGACACAAAACTGGGTGGGATTGCTAATTCTGAAGAAGACAGAGTCAGGATTCAAAATGATCTAGATAGGCTGGAACAGTGGGCTGAGACAAATACAATGAATTTCAACAGAGATAAGTGCAAAGTCCTACACTTAGGTGCAAAAAATCAAAGGCACAGATATAGAATGGGAGGGACTTGGCTTGACAGCAGCACATGTGAAAGGGATCTAGGTGTTCTGGTTGATCACAAGCTAAACATGAGCCTGCAGTGTGATGTGGCTGTGAAGAAAGCTAATGCAATCCTAGGATGCATTAAGAGAAGCACTGTGTCCAGATCACGGGAGGTGGTAGTTCTGCTCTATTCTGCTATGGTCAGGCCTCACCTGGAGTACTGTGTCCAGTTTTGAGCACCACATTTTAGGAAGGATTTTGACAAGCTCGTGTGTGTCCAGAGGAAGGCAACCAGGATGGTGAAAGGGTTGGAATCCAAGTCATATGAGGAAAGGCTGAAAGAGTTGGGTATGTTTAGCCTGGGAAAGAGAAGGCTTAGAGGGGACTTGATTGCAGTCTTCAAATATTTGAAGGGCTGTCATGTAGAGGATGGAGCAGATCTCTTCTCTCTTGCTCCGGATTACAAGACTTGATCTAATGGGTGGAAATTACAAGGGAGTCGATACCAGCTAAATATCAGGAGAAACTTCCTAACTGTAAGAGTGGTTGAGCAGTGGAACAGACTGCCTCAGGAGGTGGTGGATGCTACTTCGTTGGACAGTTTCAAGCAGAGGTTGGGGTTGGACTAGATGACCTGCAAGGTCCCTTCCAACTCTAACATTATATGATTCTATGAAAGTTTCATTCTGAGCATAAGCTTTTGTGTGCATGTACACTCAATGTGCATGCACATGAAAGCTTATACTCAGGCCAGAATTAAACTTTGTTGGTCTTAAAGGTGCCACTGGACTCAAACTTCATTCTCCTCTTCAGAGGTTTGCTGTCTTTTGCCTTGAATAGCTGTTGATGGATTTCTTTTCCATGACTCTCTGACTAATAGTAGGAGAGCTGTCAATCAAAGGGAGGGCTAGAACTTTTTAGTGGGGTGTGGAGGTAAGAATGGGAAAAGGTTCCTCAGTGGAACAGGCTTCCCTGGGAATTGGTGGGCTCATCTTCTTTGGAGGTCTTCGAACAGAGGCTAGATAGCCATCTGACAGCAAGGCTGATCATGTGAACTTAGGCAGATCATGACAGGGAGAGCAGGAAGGGTTGCCTCAGAGCTTAGTTCTTGTGACCCTTTTTACACGCCCAGGGAAATGCTGATTGCCACTTTGGGGTCAGGAAGCAATTTTTCTCCAGGCTGGTTTGGAGGTTTTTTGTCATCTTCTGGGCATGGAACAGCGGTCACTGTGGGTGTGGAGGGGGAGGTATTTGTGAATTTCCTGCATTGTGCAGGGGGTTGGACTAGATTACCCTGGAGGTCCCTTCCAACTCTATGATTCTAAGGTGATCTCAATAATGCAGATGTAAGCAAACTCCTTGGTACTTATTTGGTGCCTCTGATAAGGTTCACATTTGTCAAGTATTGTTTCTGTGCGTCACCTTGAGTTTCTTGTAACTTACTGTAATGTTTTCTGTTCTCTTGATCAAGGTCCTGTTTTCATGTGCCTTGCAAAGTAAAGCATAAAAATGTAAACAGTGTGAAAGTTGTAGGAGTTAATAAGCTGTTAAAATGCCTAGTATGAGCATAAAAACCTTTGCTCAGAACATATATTTCCTTACCATGAGTCTCAGAAAACAGTTCACAGGCTACAAGAACGAGTCTGAATGATGGTTGTAGCAGGTCTGGGCCAGGGTGCCCACCAAGGATTTCTAGAAAGGCGGCCAGGCAATTGGCCACTGGTAATTCGATCGGTTTAACAGATTTTTAAAATGTTACTTTGGCAGCAGCTGTCCCCACAGCACGAGATTGTCACTGCCCGATTGACGGGAAGCTGTAGGTATGCGATAAAATATTTTTAAACAATGTGCTCATTTTAAAGGCATACTGTTAAGGAGAGCTTCTGTGTGGAAATACTGCAGAGTTTCTGATTAGAGTTGTGCGTGACCTCACTCCCCGAGCCAGTTTAAAGTAGTGGTTAAGTGCGCGGACTCTAATCTGGGAGAACCGGGTTTGATTCCCCGCTCCTCCACTTGCACCTGGCTGGATGACCTTGGGCAAGCCGTAGCTCTGATAAGAGCTGTCCTTGAAAAAGAGCCATTTCTGTCAAGAGCTCTCTCAGCCCCACCTACCTCACAGGGTGTCTGTTGTGGGAAGGGAAGGGAAAGGAGTTTGTAAGCCCCTCTGAGACACCTTTGGGTAGTGAAGGGCGGGGGGTAAATCCAATCTCTTCTTCTTCCACCCCTTGTGGCAGCTATTTTGTGGCTGCGCCCACCACCCAGTGTCAGAATCGCAAAGGCTGGAACCCCTGACTGAGGCTGTGCATCCTGTCAGTTCCCAGCCTCCCTTTTGGGCTCAGAATACATAGGAAAGGACGTGGTTGGGATGAGTGGAATTTCTGCCCATCTGTGCAGAAGCCAGGGTTGAAGAGGAAGAGATTGGATTTATACCCTGCCCTTCACTCGGAGTCTCAGAGCGGCTTAGAAACTCCTTTCCGTTCCCCTCCCCACAACAAGGTCATCCAGCAGCTGCAAGTGGAGGAGTGGGAAATCAAACCCGGTTCTCCCAGCGCACTTAACCACTACACCAAACTGGCCTACATGGTGCTGTCAAGGTGGACTTTAGCTTCTGGAAAACAGTTTTCTCCCAACACAGAGGAGGAAAACAATCTCTTTACTTCCAGCTCAGATCCACTGGACTTTCTCTTTTAATTATCCATGCTTTACATTTGGAGGGGTTGGTAAGTGCTCTTAACGCCCTTCTGATAAATAACCACGAGAATGCATTTAATTGGATTTTGTGACAATTTTAATGGTTTGAACTATGTTTTATATTGGCGTATGCCTCCGTGTAAGCCGCCCTGAGCCTGTGTAGCAGGGAGGGCGGGGTATAAATTGAACCTATAAATAAATATAAATAAAATAAATAAATTTAGCTGGAAAACGTGGCCCTGAAAAGCTCCAGCTGACCAAGGGAATCAGGGAAGCTTGGAGGCTGTGGTGGTGGGTTTGTTTGGACTCTCTGGTTAGCAAAGGATGCGTATTTTGAGTGGATGTGCACGCCCAAGCCATACACACTTCTTTGATTCATTTATACCCCAATTTCCTCCCCAGTGGGGGACCCAAAGCAGCTCACAACCGTCTCCCCTTCTCCATTTTTATCCTGCTACCAGTCCTGTGAGGTAGATAAGGCTGAGAGTGGGTGACTGGACCAAGGTCACCCAACAAGCTCCCATGGCAGACTGGGGATTCGAACTTCGGTCTCCCAGATCCTAATCTTGCACTCTGACTACAACACCACACTGGCTTTAGTGTGTGCATTTCTGAACCCCACTCCTCTGGAGAGCTCAGAGTCTTGGCTTGCTGAGCTGATGAGCAAGGCGGGATGTGACTCATGAGTCAGTGCTCAACACAAATGTTGCTGTTTTGATGCACAGTGGAGGTGGAAGTATGCACGTTACTCATGAAGCGCCCAACAGTGAAATCAATAAAAATGTCTGTTGGAGCCTTGCTTTCACTTCCAGAGAAGGGAGATATGAGATGTCCCCTACATGCAAGGAGAGCCAGTTTGCTGTCGTGGTTAAGTGCGCGGACTCTAATCTGGGAGAACCGGGTTTGATTCCACACTCCTCCACTTGCACCTGCTGATGTGACCTTGGGTCAGTCACAAGCTCTGGCACAGCTGTCCCTGAAAAAGAGCAGTTTGTGTCAGAGCTCTCTCAGCCCCACCCACCTCACAGGGTGTCTGTTGTGGGGAGGGGAAGGGAGAGGAGTTTGTAAGCCGCTCTGAGACTCCAAGTGAAGGGCGGGGTATAAATCCAATCTCTTCTTCTCTCCTTTTTTTTTTTAGGGTGAGCATGAGAAGCAGGAACTACTGGAAGCTCAGAAGGAAAAGCAGCGAGAGCTCATCTTGGAGCTGAAGGCCCAGCTGGATGACCTGGAAACATTTGCCTACCAGGAAGGCAGCTATGATGCACTGCCTCAGTCCATGGTCATGGAGAGACAGCAGGTGAGACTTGGAGCTGCACAGCCAGGCCTTTCTAGCTGAGACAGCCGGTAATTCATCAGGGCAGGAGTAACACTCCCAGCATGTTTCCTGTGTGGCTTTGCAGGTGATCATAGAGGAACTGATCAAGAAGCTGGACATGAACTTGAGCGAGGACATTGCCTCACTGTCCCCCGAAGAGCTGCGCCAGCAGGTGGATGTCGCTGTGGCGCAGATTGTCAACCCAGCACGTGTGAAAGAGCAGCTTGTAGAGCAGCTGAAGACCCAGATCCGGGACCTTGAAATGTTTATCAATTTCATCCAAGGTCAGTAGAGGCCTGTCTTCTGCGTGCTAGCAGCAAGCGCATTGAGGAATAGGAGAAGACCTGGACAGGAGTGGGCATTTGGTATCATCCTGACAGCCTGAGTTCTCTTGGGGGCTGCTGTTGGGCAGTGAGACCCAGTTCACAAACATTGTCTCAGTAATATGTTAAGACATTTGCTCTTGCTTTCTGGGAGAAGAGTAAAAGGAGTTTTCTGTCCTCTTCAGGAAGGGTGCTAGCCCAGTCTTTGCATATCCTGTCACCATTGCAAGGGTCTCTTCTGACACCTGACTCAGCCACATGGCTTCTGCTTCTTTCTCCTCCTCCTCCTCCTCCTCCCAGCATGGGTTGGGTGTGGCCTGCTGTCCCCTACATGCCAGGCACCTCTTCCAGTGCCTCTTAGCCTTTTGTAGCCAAGCAGATCAGAGTGGGGCACCGTGCGTGACTACCAGGAAGTGCTGGGAAAGGAAGAGGAGGCCACAGGTCACCTCTTCAGAACCGTCGGTGATGGCAAACTCAGGGCGGGGAACAGAGAAGCTAGCTCTGGCCAAAGAGACAGGGAGATGGGGAGCAGGAGGAATCTTCTTGGAAGAGCCTTTCCCAAGCAGAGCGTGACACAGATAGAGGAGACAGTGGATTTTCCCTAAGTTTGCTCTGCACTTCAAGGCCCATCTCCAGAGTTGAGCATGACATCAGATGCCAGGTCCTGCTCCACTGGGCTGTGGTCATCATGGCTCAGTCAGATCCTGGGCCAGCAGTTAAGACCAGCTGCTGATGCTTCTGGATTTCTTTCATATACAGTTATTACCACTGTGTAGGCCTCTCTCGGAGCTGCGGTGGCTCAAGTGGTTAAGATGCTGAACTGCAGGCTGTGGAAAGTCAGTAGTTTAGCAGTTCGAGACCCAGGGTGCCGCATGACGGAGTGAGCTCCCGTCTCTAGTTCCAGCTCCTGCCAACCTAGCAGTTTGAAAGCAAGAAATTGCAAGTAGATAAATAGGGACCACTTCGGTGGGAAGGTCACAGCGTTCCGTGCGCCTTGGCGTTTAGTCATGTCGGCCACATGACCACGGAAACGTCTTCGGACAGCACTGGCTCTTCGGCTTTGAAACGGAGATGAGCCCCGCAACCCTAGAGTCGGATTCGACTGGCTTTCGAGCAAGGGAACTTTTACCTTTTTAGGCCTCTCTCAGAATGCCTGCTTATCATAGGGGAGTAATAGTTCTGTACAAATCAGAGCAGAGCTTTGCAACATTTTTGCATGTTTCACTGAACATGGAGGTGCTCTGGTGTGAGTGAACGGCGTATAAGCAAGAGTAGTGTATACCTAGCCCAGATTTCTTGACCCATGTAAAGAGTGTCCATCTACAGCTTGATAGGGAGTGTCTTTGCCAAGATGGAGCTGGAGATGGCGATTTGTGTGACTTCCCTTCATTTTGTGACTCTTGGTCTCTTCCTTGTTTTGGCTTTGCAGAAGAAGGCGGCAGCCCGGGCAAACCAGCAGGTGGGCCTTGTGAGTGTTCTGCTGGGAAGGCCGGCAGTGACCCCTGCAAGCCAAACACTCAGGAGCCTCGCAGGAACAACAAAGGTGAATGGCTGGGCAGGGCCCTCTCCTTCTTTCCTTCCAGCAATTGCATTATTGTGGGCTCATTTTGGTGCAGTGGCGCTTGAAGGTCAGCATCAGATTTGTAGGTGACATGAAGTTCTTCAGCATCAGAGCAAAATTTGGTGTTGTGGTTAAGCACAGTTCTCTCAAGAGCAGTTCTCTCAGAGCTCTCTCTGCCCCACCTACCTCACAGGGTGTCTGTTGTGGGGAGAGGAAGGGAAGGAGATTGTAAGCCACTCTGAGACTCCAAGTGAAGGGTGGGGTATAAATCCAACTCTTCTTCTTCAACTAAACATTTTGCGTCTTCCCCGTCTTGACCTTGGCTGCAAATACTGTCGGCATCAGATGTTGCTGTTGAGTGTTAAACTCCAAGTTTGCTAACTGTGGGGTGAGAGTGTGATTATTTTGTTTTTTAAAAAAGGCTTATATGCTGGCCTTTACTGCCCCGGGCCCTTGCCTTCATTCTCCCCTTTCCATCTTCTCCTTCCTGCTGGATGGCACGGGTCCTTCTGGCTTCCATCACCCTAGCCCTTCTGCAGTCTGTACCGCTCACTTGCAAGTGATCATCTTCTTTCCATTTCCTCCCCACCAGCTGCCCACACCGTGTGAAGTCAAAGTGGGTTGCTCTTGCCTATGCCATGACTGCAGTCAGGACAGTGTTCTCTTGCCTTGGCACTCTGTCACTTTACTGCAGACTGCAGGAGTGACATTGGTCCCTTCCCCCCCCCCCCCCCGAGAGAAGCCACAGGGATGCACCCACCACCTCTCCTCTTGCGGGAGAGACAAGAAGCAACTTCAGAAACTTCTCTTCCCTCCTTCTTCTGTTTAAAGCCAGTTTGGTGTTGTGGTTAAGTGCGCGGACTCTAATCCGGGAGAACCGGGTTTGATTCCCCACTCCTCTTCCACTTGCACCTGGCTGGATGGCCTTGGGCAAGCCGTAGTTCTGATAAGAGCAGTTTCTGTCAAGAGCTCTCTCAGCCCCACCTCCCTCACAGGGTGTCTGTTGTGGGGAGGGGAAGGGAAAGGAGTTTGTAAGCCGCTCTGAGACACCTTTGGGTAGTGAAGGGCGGGATATAAATCCAGTCTCCTCCTCCTCTTCTTCGACTCTGTTGACTGGATGCACTAGCACAGTGATGGCGAACCTTTTAGAGACCGAGTACCCAAACTGCGACCCAAAACCCACTTATTTATCGCAAAGTGCCAACACGGCAATTTAACCTGAATACTGAGGTTGTACTTTAGAAAAAACGACTCATACATTAACTTAAGATGATCCAAACAAAGTAAGGAAAGCAATCCCAAATGCTTTCATTCACTTAAAATTAATTGGCAGAGAATTCGACACTTTAATGATGGTCTGGGCCTGGCTGGGGCGATGGCATGTGTGCCCACAGAGAGGGCTCTGAGTGCCACCTCTGGCACCCGTGCCATAGGTTCGCCACCACTGGCCTAGCATCTTGGAGTTCTCAGTGTGCATCCAGTGGATGACTGAATATGACTACGGAGGAATGTTTTAGTATCCCTCTGGACAGATCTATAGCTTCCCATATGCGGTTCCAAATAGGGGCCTCCACTATACGTATGGTTGCCACTGACTGGGATGGGCTGAAATTGCACATATCTAGGAGGAGGTCCCAGGTTCAGAACACCGTAGTGTCCCGTGCCTGTCAGCCTCTACCAGAGGGGGTGTCCCATTGCGGACTGAGTGTGGATGGCCTTGGTTCGGTGGTCTCGGCTCTTCTGAGGAATGGTCTTTTTCCCCCCTTCATTATGCAGTGAACCCTGAAGATGCCCGGAGGATGCGAGAGACAGGACTGCATCTCATGCGACGCATGCTTGCCGTGCTGCAGATCTTTGCTGTGAGCCAGTTTGGTTGTGCGGCTGGGCAGATCCCTCGCCATCTGTGGCAGAAACACCAAGCGGATATGGAATATGCCCCCTTGGTGAAGAAGTTGGAAGCGGCTGTGGCCCACGTGAGACAGCTGGCCCAGAAGTCCCAGCTTGGAGAGCCGGAGCATGTCGTCAGCTTCTCTGGGTCGCCGAACCCGGGCAGGCGGGATGAGCTGACGCTTGCCGTGCGCAAGGAGCTGACGCTCGCCGTGCGTGACCTGCTGGCCCACGGCCTCTACGCCCCGTCCCCCGGGATGAGCCTGGCCCTGGCCCCGATTGCCTGCCTCCTGCCCGTGCTGAATTCCTCCCCTCAGGCCATGCACCCTTGGGAGCTCTTTGTGAAGTACTACCAGTCCAAGAACGGCCGGGCCTTTGTGGAGTCCCCGGCTCGTAAGCTCTCCCAGTCCTTCGGCCTCCCCGTGACAGGCGGGGGCCCCGTCACCCCGAAGCAGAGCCTCCTGTCGGCCATCCACACGGTCCTGTCGGAACACGACCCATTCAAGCGCAGCGCAGACTCGGAGCTGAAGGCCCTGGTGTGCCTGGCCCTCAACGAGCAGCGCCTGGTTTCCTGGCTCAATCTCCTCTGCAAGTCCGGCGCCCTGATCCAGGCCCACTACCAGCCCTGGAGCTACATGGCCCAGACCGGCTTCGAGGGCGCCCTCAACCTCCTCAGCCGCCTCAGCCACCTGCACTTCAGCCTCCCCGTGGACTTGGCAGTGCGGCAGCTGAAGAACATCCGGGACGCCTTCTGAGTGGCCGGAGCCCCATCTCGGCCCGGGCAAGGGCAGCGCTTCCGGCTCCGCCCAGGAAGGCCACCTCTGGGCACTCACAGGCGGTCTCAACAGCGGCTGCCTCCATTGCATTCACCAGGCCCCCCACGTGGCGCCTCTTGTAACAGGCCGACAGCCGTTGAGAGGAGCTGCCCTAGCGCCATGTGCAGTTCTTGGCCGCCGGTTGCCCTCTGTAGTGTCCGTAAGGCTTCGCTGCAGAGCTGTGGTGTGTTCATAATGTCCCTCGATCTCACGGAGTCAGCTTGGACAGCGTGTCTCCACGAGGGACGTCCGCTTCCTTCTGTACCACCGGGAGCAGGGCCTGTATTCGGCCTTGATCGCCCGGAGGAGGTCTTCCTGGGCAAAGAGTCCTGAACTATTGAACTCTCAGGTAGCAGAGCCTGCGAGTAGAACGGAGCTTTGACAGACAAGCGGCTGGCTTCAGTGTGTCCGCTTGAGCCTAGTGCTCACAGGCGGCAAAGAATCAGGTGGCAGGATGGAACAGGCGGGCATCCCGGCTGAATTGGGTCCAGCGTCACAGTGTGGTGGAGAGGGAGGGCCAGGTGGTGTGAGAAAAACAGGTAAAGGAAGAGAAGGGGACACCCTTGACTACAGGCAGAGGGTGAGCTCCGGGATCTAGTGAGACAAGCACACAAGTCTGCGAGAGAGAGATGGGTAGAGGTGTCCAGCCTTGTCCCCGTTGCAGGAAAGAAGCCGTTTGAATAGCGTTTGTCATAACTACTACCTCCCAAACAGTCCCTTTGCGGGCGATTGGGTGCCTTTGGTGTGGGTACGTATGATGTGCTGTTGGGGGGGATAGGAGCTACATGACCCTCAGCCCGGATATTGCTTGTCTTCATCCTCATATCATCTGCCGTGGAAGTAGTTAAGCTGGGCAGGACTGCTCTGCGAGCTAAATTTCGTTTTCTGCGGACCAGACAGGGAGATGTTACTACTAAAAAAATCAGACTTCCAAACACGGCATGTTTCCTCTGTAAGGATGTAGTAGAGTGAAGGATACATTCAAAGGTTCTGAGACCAAGATTTGTTTCTCCCCATGGAACTTAGGATAGTGCCCTCCCAGTACAGTGCAAAGCATCAGGGCAACTATGTTCTGCTGCAGAGGTGTAGTTCCAGATATGGTACTTCTAGAACTCTACTCTCTTAGGTTTCTCTGAGGCCCAAGAGAAGGGTGAGATCAAACTGTGCCATCTTCAGACCTTGCTCTGACAGCCCAGCTTGGACAGTGTGCGAAGGAGCTCCAGTGCCAAGCCATGCCCTTGTGAATTCTGTGTCTCTGCAAATAAGTTGTTTTGTGGAGTTTCTGTGACCTGTCCGTCTCAACCCCCTCTGCTTAGTGTAGGAGATCTCCTGCTGTTGTCTCGTATTATTCATTACATTCAGGAAACTGTGTCCTGCTCCCTGAGGGATCTTACTTTTTAATAGCATTTTGATTGTTCTAATGCCAGTTCAGTGCAAAGGGGAAAATGTGTCAATTGACAGTTGTTTATGTGGCTGATAATAAATTATTTCTGGTACTTCTCTTTTCTGTTATAGAAATGAGTTTTCTTCGTACAGTCTTTTGTCTTGGATATGATGCAATTAACAGAACTTTTTGTTTTCCTTATGGGGTATTGCAAAGCTACTCAGAACTGACCAGCAAAACTGTTAGTCTGTGTCTAGGAATTTTTTTTCTTGACTAAGAGCCTCAAAACACACATCCTTGTAGAGGGGGCTCCTCAAAGTGCACATTCCTGGTGGTGGTGGTGGTGGTGGGGCTCCTCTTCATTCCTGTTCTGCTGCACTTGCCCATGAGCTGTTGCCCCAGAGAATGGAGTTCTGAAAGCTGTTGGCCAAGTATTTATTGTGCTCTAAATGTTGTAAGCTGCCCCATGTCCTCTGTGGGGAAAAGGCGCACAGTATAAATGTTTGCCTGCCCTTCATTTTTGCAGTCAGGAAGAAGGTGACACCAGTGCCACATAGGGGCCCTGTGTCAAGCCTAGGCTTTTCTCACCTTTGAAAACGTAAAAGCACCAGTGGACTTCGAAGGACTCGGAAGGAGGCCTCTGCTTCTTTGCAGGCAACAGGTCTTGTGCCTCTCAGGAGCACTTCCGTGTGTGATGTGGACAGACTTTCTTCATTGGATTCTTCATAATGCCATACCTGACAGCAGGAGGGCCCTCAACTCCCAGCTGAGGATTTCATGGCTGAGGTGGGACTCGAATGAAAGGCTTTCCTGCTTTCAGTGTGTGCAGTCACTTGCTCTCCTATGAATTCTGTGTGTGAACTCTTGTGTGTTATGATAACTACTAGTAGGCAGCACACAGTACAGCACTAGCTAACAGGTCTGCAACATGCCCCCCCCCCCCGGGGTGTGCACGGCAAGCGGAAAAG